GGACATCTCCGAGTGGGGTGGGGCCCCAGTGGTTCCTCCCCTCCAAGCTCTCCTGCCATATCAGGCTGCCCCCAGGGGCATGGCCAGGGTGACACAGACCTGCCCACAGACAGGGGCATAGAGCCTGGAGCACAGGGAGGCCTGTGTTCACTACTCACCAGGCCTGCTCTCAGGAGCCGCCTCTCTTCAGTTGACTACAGAATGCTTCTCCCTTCCGAGGCTCCCCCTCCTCTGGCCACCAGGTTGTCACCTCAGCAGTGGGCATGGCTTCTGTGGAACCAGCCCTGGGCATGGTGGGTGCTGTGGGTGCCATGCACCTGGACTGGCAGTGTTAGCCCCACAGTCTGAGATGAAGCCAGCTCTGGCTGAAGGGGGTCAGGGGACCCCGCACTTTCCCATCAGCCATGGAGCTCAGCTGGTAGGGGTTTCTCTTGTGTGTCCTCTGTGTCCCCCAGTTTTCCATTGAGGAGTACCACCAGGATGGGGTGTCAGGAGAGGGTGGGTTGTTGGATTTCCCAGGGGTTTCCTGGGACAGCTGAAGAAGTTGGTGTGGGGTGGGGCCAGGGCTCTCTCAGGAAGACCTGTCCCCAGAAGGCACCTGGCCGCCCTGCCTGAGTCTTGCATGACCAGGGGACCTCCTCCCGGGGATCACATGCCTTCAGACGCACCCACCTGCTTGGTTGAGGACTGAGAGGGAGAATCCTGCCGTGTTCAGGATAGGGGCTCACTAGAAACAAAGTAGGAAGGACTCTCCAAGCAGAGGGAATAGTCAGTGTGGAGGTCTGGAGCTGTGAGGCTGGAGCACGGAGGCCTCCCTGGAGGTGGGAAGCATGAGGCCGTATCAGGAAACAGGGCTGGGGGAGGGAAGGGGAGATGAATGTGGGGCGTGGACCAGGCCAGGTGGGACCAGGTAATGGTGCTGCACAGGTGTGTGTAGGTATATGGAAGAGCCCACCCCCTGCGTGTCACCCATCCCCACAAAGCCCAGGGACAGGGAGATGGATGGGAGGCTGTGAAGACGTTTGCTTGGTATGTGTTTCAGCCACTCAGCCAGCCGCTCAGGCCTGCCCAGCAAGTGTCTGTGGCAGAAGCGTTTGCCACAGTCTGTGCCCGGTGGTGCTGCAGGGCCAGAGGGAGGGCCCAGCTGCTGGGCAAAGCCCTGCGCAGTCTTAGTATGAGAGACTCGTGCTTGCCCCTACCCCCGGGCTTGTCGATCACTCTGAGGTCAGTGAGATGGGGCTGGACGTTGCCACTTTCATTGTGGCCCTTGGTGAGGTCTTGCCCTTGCTCAGCATTGGCCCCCATGACCCGCTGCTGTCCTTGGGGTCCCCTGGCTCCTGGTGGCTTGGGGATGGGGTGCATGGGGAGCTCTTGGGATGAACTTCTGGACCTGAACTAGTCTCCAGGTGGTGTGATGATGTACCCTGGGCATGGCCTCACAGCTTCCTACTCATCCATGTATTCTTTTTGGTGTGAGGGCAGGAAGAGAGAGGCCAGCGCCCACCCTATCCCTGGTGCTTCCTGGCCTGAGGGCTGGGTTGCTCGCTGGGGACGAATGTGCAGGGGGCAGTGCCGAGGAGAGGAGGAAGCAGCTCAGGAGAGCTGAGCAGCTTCCTGGAGGAGGTGGCATTGATCTGGGCCCAGAGGGAAGTTTCAGAGATGGAGGGCCCAGGGCAAGGTGTGGTGGGGACAGTGGAGGCCTCTGGAAATAGGCAGAGGGCTCCAACCTGGGGAAGGAGCCAAGTGCATGTCTTGCCGGGGCCTCGAATGCCAGGCTGAAAGGGGTTGGCCTTTTCTCTGAGGGTGCCCAGAGCAGAGGAGGGATGCGAGCTGGTGTAGCCGGAGTCTGTGCCTGGGTGGGGTCACTGGCCCCTTGCCGGGTGGCCCTGCCTGCAGCTTGCACACCGTAAAACGTGGGCATTTAAGGCTCCCTCTCGTTTTATGGGTGCATCGATTGCGTCTGGGTGGGTGGGAATGGATTTATAATTAGACGACAGCCATGGTGATCGATAGGGAGATTATTAGAACCGTAAATAGAACTTAGGACTCAGACTAGGTGACTTCCCCTGAACCAGGGCATCGATCATTAGCGGTGGCCCTGGAATGTAAAATACCACGTTAGGTTGTAGAACTAAACGCTTCTACATTTAGTATTCACGGGGATGTGCCGTGAATCTCCAACACAGCCCCATCTGTGGACCAGGGCCTGTGGGGTGGACCGGGGTCTGTGGGGTGGCTCAAGCAGTAGCTTACCTGGTTTCGGGCATGGACAGGAGGCGCAGGAGGGGCAGGATGGGTATGGGACGCTGGAGGTGGGACCCAGAACTCTGTGGGCCCAGAACATTCTGGGAGCTGTGGCCGGGACCCTGCCTGGTGGCCTGCTGGGGGTCATGCTGGGGGCCTGGCTATCTGGAGAGCCACATGTCCAAATGAGGCAGCCCTCAGCCAGCCACAGCCGTAATCAAGCCACAGCCCACTCTCCATGTTGGTGGCACAGAGCTAAGCCTTTTCTGGGTCGTTCCACCTCCTGCATGTCTGGTGAGGCTCCCAACTGTGGGGCCACCCAGCGGGGCAGTCCAGCTTTTGCTTCCCAGACTGCCAGGTGCCCATGGGGGCTGGGCTCTGGCCTGTCACCCATATAGCTGCCCTGAGAGTGCTGGGCATGGCCATGGGGATGCCCCAGATCCCTTGCCCTGCCCCATCCCCTGGGACACGGCTGTGAACTGCGTGCAGTGTGTGTCCCCCATGCTAATACAGTGCCGGTCAGATGCTCCCAGGACACCTGCTCTCATTTGACAGCCAGGTGCCAGGATACTGAGGCTTTGGCCTCCTGACCCCACAGTAGGTTGGAGGCAGCACTGGCTGGGGTGGCCAGGGCGGGGCTGAGTGACACAATTAATAGTGCTGTGGCTGGGGGCCAGGCCTGCGGGGCCTGAGCAAACCTTTCCGAGTCCTATGAGCACAGGTTGGGCCCTACCTGGGGTCCCAGGGCTTACAGTCCAGGGAGGATCTGGAGCAGAGGGTTTCTGGCCCGCCAGGGGGGCTGGGCCACTGGAGGCCTGGCCTGGATAGGGATGATGGAGGGCTTCCTGGAGGAGGTGCTGCATGCTGCTTTGATGTGCACAGTGGGAGGCGAGGCCATTTTGGTGGAGCCAGGGGGAGCCAGGGTTTCCTCTATCCTTAGAGGTTGGGTGGCACAGGCTTGGGGGTGTTGCTCCTGCTGCACCCCCATGATAGCCTGCTTTGTCCCCGCCTCTCTGTGAGCCCTGGTGGGGTCCCTGGTGGTTGCCCACCTGTCCTCAGGGACGTAGCTGGGATGGTGGGGTGTGGGTGGAGCTTTGTGTGGGTTCTGGCCTGTCTCTTTAACGTGACCCATTGCTGGTGCTCCCCTCCAGGCCTCAGTTTACCCACTGTGGAGTGGAAGTTGGACAGGGTGGTCCCCTCTCCCTGGTGAGGCTGCAGCAAAGCTGCTTCTATGACAGGGCGGGCGAGGCACCTGCAGGGGGTAGGACATTCCCGGCTGGGGGCCCTCTGGGTGACCAGGTGGAGCTTTGAGGGGGCAGCCAGGTCTGCCTCACTGGCGCCCTAGTGCCTGGTACATGCCCACTGAACGATGTCCCTCGTGCCCTGTGCGGGGTTGAGACTGTCTGCAAGATTTAGCCTGGCTGCCCCGTAGCCCTGCCCCCTCCGGCTCTCCCCCCTCCGGGCACAAAATAGCCCCCAGGGAGGTATTTGACCTGAGACGCTGGCGCATGCTGCCCTCTCAGGCCAGAATCTGACCTGTGTGGACCTCAGGCCCAGAGGGTCCCTAGGAAGTGGGTGAGTGTGGTGTTTCCCAAACTGTGTTCCGTGGAACCGGTGGAGGCCTGTGGGCAAGGCCGCCGGCAGGAGCCCTCTGTTAGCTGTCCCCTCCGGGACGGTGGCCTCACGCTCTCCTCTCGCTTTTCTTTCGTTGCTGCCCTGGCACCTCCATCACGTTTTCTGTTTGGCCACCTGCCCGCTGCTCGCCCCTCTGTCTCCTGTCCCCGTGTTGTGGTCTTCCCTCCTGCCGCTCCACCTCCCCTCCCCGGCTTCTTTTGGCGTGCCCGGGTTCTGCTTCTGGCAGGCGTCGGCAGCGGCCGTCCCAGTGGCCGGAGCCGCGGCTCGGCAGCTCGTGGGACGGTGGAGCCGAGGCGTGTGCGGGACGCCCGAGACAGGTCAGTGTGGGGGGCTCAGCGCTGCAGGCGTGCCGGTGGCCTGCACCGGCTCTGGCGGGAGGTGGAGGTGCTGCATGAGCAGGTGGGGTGGCCGGGCCGTGGAGGGGCGCGGCCCTCCGCCCTGCCCGCGGGATGTCGCCTCGTTAAACCCCTGCTCACCAGGCCTGGGCTGCACCCCTGTGCTGGGGCTGGCTGGAGCCAGCGTGGGGACCAGGATCCCGCCCCGGCTGTGCCCAGCTCTGCCCTGAGCAGGGCAGGCCCTGGTGGCGACATCGATGTGATGTAACTTTCAAATTCTTCCCTGCACCTTGTCCTGGGCGAGGGAGAGAAGAACTTTCGTAGGGAGCCCGCATTGAACGGTGGAAAAGGAACTCAGCTTCCACTTCTCGTTGCCCAGCCTCGGCCTGGCCGACCCTCCTTCCGGCATGTTCCCCATGAGCTGTGCCCACTCTGCAGCCCCCTTGTCCTCTGGTGTGGGGCTCACCGCTCAGCAGGGGGCTAGGTCTGTTTCGGGTCTGTGTCCCCAGGCTGTGCGCTCTTGGAGGACAGGTTTAAGGAACACCTGGCACAGGGCTGTGGAAGAGACCAGGTACCTCTGGGGCCTCTTGTTCCCAGCTTGCTCTGGGTGCCCATGAAAGTGGGCAGGATGGAGGATAGGGCTGACAAGTTGAGCTTGGTGGTTACTCTGGGTGAGAAGCGCTAGACAGACAGACTGGGGGAGCTGAGGAGAGGTCAGAGGGCTCAGGGAGGCCAGGGCAGGGCACCTGGGGCCGGAGCAGGGAATGGCCTAGGTTCTGAGGGATGCATGGGAGTCCCTGCCCGGTAGGCAGTGAGAAGGTAGGTGGCAGGGCCTGCTGTGCTGGCACAATGCCCAGTGAAGGCCTGGGCTGTCCCAGGTGTGCCCTTCTCTGCTACAAACCTTCTTGCAGCCCTAGGGGAGCAGCCGGTGCCCTGGGAGCCAGGTGGGGGTGCTTGGCTTCCTGCAGCCTAAGGTTTGAGGGGCTGTCTGTGAACATCCTGTGCAGAGTTGTTTCTTCTGTGCCCCAAGAGGGGTTTGGAAGCTGACTCTGACCACAGGCTGGGTGGGGTGGAATCCGCCACCACGGTGAGGAGTAGTGGTGCCCCGAGGGGGCAGGACCTCCTTCTAAACATTCCTCCTGGGACCCATGTGTCTTGTTCTGCTGAAGTGTCCCCCTGGCCTCTGGCTGTGTCCCTGGGCAGAACCTGAGGATGCTGGGCCCTCCAGAACGTGGTGCCACCTGGGTTCCTCACCCGCAGGGTCCCTGCCAGTCCTCACAGAGGGCATCCCGGGCAGTGGCTGTCACCAGCGCTCGGGGCTGGGCCACGGTGCCCGGGAGCCTGGGAGGCTGGGCACGGGGGCCTCTGGGGCAGGCGCTGGGCTGGCGGTGGCCAGGCTGAGGCCTGGGGCCCAGGACTGGACACGTGCACACAGACGTAATGCACGGCGGTCGGGTCTCCAGTGAGCCGGCGCCGTCCCCGGAGCACGTAATCACATTTGTGCCTCATTACGAGGCTGTCCTCCTCTCTGGGATTTATTTTAGCTAATTAGCGGGAAATGCCAGGGTAGTATTTCAGACATGGGAACCTCATACATTATCATATGCGGGGCAATTAGCGCTCGTGACAAATATTTATTGTGGTTCTTCTCTAATTATGCCTTCGGGTGCTCCCAGATGGACAGCTGGGGGTGAGGGGCACAGGGTCCCTGTCCATCTGTCCTGACCGCTGTGGCCACTGTGTTTCTGGGCCTCAGTGGGGGAGGGGCTGCAAAGTCAGGCCCCAGGGTGGGCATTTCCCACCCTCCCTGGGGCAGAGCACCCAGCACCCCGAGCTGGCAGGGCCCTGTGTGCAGGGCTTGGGAGTGGGCTGGGCAGGTGCCCGAGCAGCGGCGTCTGTCCCTCACGCAGTTCTCTCCTTCCCGCAGGCGGAAGCGGCGGTGGCCGCGGTGGCGGTGGCAGACACAGTCCGAGACGGCCCTCCCCCCGTGGGCCCTGATGGCGTGTCCAAGATGTGGGGTCGCAGCGGGTCCTGCGCAGCAGCCCTGGTCTCCCCGGCTGGGGGCTCCACAGGCCCGTCGGCTGCAGCCTCCTTCTTCGTCAGGTACACCGCCTGGGCCCTCGGTTTCTGAGGGTTCGGGGGCTGACGTCTGTGCAGCACCGAGAACAGTTGGGCCGGCATGAGGGAACCCAGCTGTGGGTCCCAGGGCCTGTCCTGGGCCAGTGTGGCCGACACAGGCCTCGGCAGCTCCCCTGCCGTCGGGGAATGGGGATTGGGAGTGGGGGTGGAACAGGGCCCAAGGGAGCATTTCTGGGTGACAGGGAGGAGGTTGGGGTGAGCAGGGAGGGTCTCGGAGGTCAGGCCGCACCTAGGACCCGCCATCGTCATCCCCCCGAGCAGCTGCCAGTCCAGCTCCACAGCCAAGAGCCCAGTGGGTCCCTGTGCCAGGCCTGAGCTCTGGTGTGTGGGAGTGACTGGAGCTTAGGGTTTGCTCTCTGGGTTCCCAGGGTGTCTGGCTGTGGCCCTGCAGGCACCGGTCTTGGGGATGTCAGCTGGGAGGCCTGCCCGGGGGGGGCATTGCGTGAGCCAAGGTGTGGAGGTGGGAAGTGGTGTTTGGAGCAGCAGGGCTGGCTTCCATCCCGCAGATCCCGGGATGGAACGGTGGGAATGAGCCATATGGGAGGCCTGGCCGTGGGTCACTGTCCCATTAGCGGCCCCGTGGTGCTGATGAGCTTGACCATGAATCATGCATGGTGGCAGGACTGGTGCCTTATCGGGGTCTGGCGGGCTGCTTGGCCTGATTGGGGGGTGGCGGGGGTGGTGTGTGATGGGGGTGTTGCCAGGGTGCAGGCCCCGGTGTCCCAGCTAGTGGGGCCACTGCCCGAATTGAGTGCCGAGATTGCGGCTGGGACCCTCTGGCTGTGGAGTGGGTGGAGGCCTGCCCGGCGGGCCCAGGAGCCCAGGTGGGGATAGCAGGGCAGGGACAGGCCAGCAGCTGGGAACGTCCTTCCCAGTTAGTCTCTGCCTGGCTGTGGGCAGCAGCCACCCTCTATCAGGCCGTGGTTGCCGGATGAGTCCACACCCGAGACCCTCTGGAAAGGAAGCGGCCCGGCCCCAGGGGTTGGTCCCACGTTCTGGGGGCCACACTGGCTCATTAGCGACCCCCTGGCCCCGCAGAGTGAGCACGCCACCTTTTGTCTAGAGCCTGGTAAAGCTACTTCCGACCTTGGGAAGTTACCATGGAAACAGGCACGCTGGCTGGGATGGGGAGGCAGGTTTTCCGGGGGTCTGCAGGGAGGGCGCTGTCAGCTGCCATTACTTCCAGCCTGTTGAACACCCCGAATCCCAGCAGCTTCTGAAGGGTTATGGGCCCAGTGGGGGGCGTGTGCTGGCCGGGAACACAGTCCCCAGCTCCTGCCTGACCTGGGCCTGAGACCTGCTGTTCTTTGGGGCTGCAGCACCCTTGCCATCGGGTGAAGTGGAGTGCTCCAGAGCTGCACCCCCTCCCTCGTTTTGTGGAGCCTGCAGCTCAGAGAGGGAAGGGGCTTGTCCAGAGTCCCCAGGAGACGCGGGGCTGCTAGACCCTGTCAGAGGCCAGAGGTTCCACCTGAGCTATGCTTGGTGCTTCTGGGGACTGGAGGGGCAGAGCTGACCCCAGCCCATGACTTGTCCTGCCCTGTTTCTAGCTAGTGGGGGGGTTGTCTGGAGGTGTCCTTATGGCAGCATGGGATCTGTGAAGCAAGTGCTGTCCACAGTGCTGTGTACCACAAGTGGGCTTTGAGGGTTGAGTAGGAGTCTGGTGTTTGCCAAGGGGAGGCAGAGTGGTGTGCAGGTTAGGAGTTTGGATTCTCCACTGATCCCTGAGCATTCCCAGCAGATCTTCTTGAGGACCTCTGGGCTCCTTACCTCTGTGCCTGGAGGCTGAGGTGGGGAATGTTTTGTGGGTGCCTCGGAGCCCAGGTGTGAGGCCCGGCGCCCTGCACCCCTCAGCTGGGTCTGGGTGGGTCACTCGGGCACAGCGGCCACAGCTGCAACAGAGCTCCGTGCGCCAGCCCCCACCAGAGTTCTGGAAAGGCTGGGCCTTGTGGGTCAGGCACCGTAATTACATTTTCTCTGGAGGCTCTGGTGACCTTGATTCCCCCTTCCTGCATACTCCCTCTCCTGCTAGTAATGTCCCTGTCCTTCCTGCCTGTGCAGCCTCCCCTCCTCCCAGATGCCTCCATTAGTACTCTCTCCTGCTCGCCTGCCCATCTGGGCCTTTCTGGGGGGTCACCTTCCTGAGTCTAGCAGGTGTGGAAGAAGGGGAATGCTCTCCAGGTCCCCTCCCTGCCCCAGTGTAGCCTCAGGGCAGCCCCTCCCTGGAGTCTGCCTGCACGCCCAGCCCCGGAGCATCAGGCCTGGCACCGAGCTGAGGTCCAGAACCAGAGCTGGTGCTGCCTGAGGCACACGGGCTGCTCTAGCTGGGCGCCCAGAGCAGGAGGGCCGTGCAGGGAGGGGTCCCTTACCTGCATGGTGGGGCTGAGGATGGCTCCCAGCCTGTGGGTGACATGGAAAATGCCAGCCATGACAAGGGCCAGGGTTTGGGGATGCTGGGAACTTGTCCCGGCTTCAGGGGTCTAGGGCCCCTTTAGCAGCTCTGTACCCATGAGTTCCCGATGGGCAGATCGTGGGTCTCTCAGGGCCTGTGGATGGCAGCTTCCCGGGGTGGACACAGGCGGGTGCTTTGGGCGTGGCCAGGTTCACCAGCCACGTCACTGGTCAGGTAGGAAGCCTTGGCTTGCCTGTAACTGACCTCACACATGTCTGAACAGGCCTGTGTACCTCCTTGGGGTAATTGAGGGCCTCACCATGAAGGCTGACTGGTTGCCTACAAAATTACCTTCTTGTTGGTAAGAGGTAATTTTTCTTTGTAAAAACGCAAAATATTTCTCCTTCCATTTATATGAATCAATGACCAAGGCTGGTGAGCCCAGGAAAGAAAGGCCTCTGGATTTGCAGTGAGGGGCTGGTGGATGTTCCAGGAGCCCACTTATATACTCACTCATGGCTGTGTCCTGAGCTTCCCCTGTCCAAGGCCTTGCTTGGCAAACACCTGCCTGCAGATCGGGGGAGCACAGCCATGTCAACCAAAGTCTCAGGGCAAGGAGAGTTCCAGTAGTAGCAGGAATCACATGGCCTGGCGTGGGGGCACCAGGGCAGGCTTCCTGGAGGTGGTGTCCTCTGAGGAGGAGGAAGGCTTTGTATGTAGGTGAAGTTCCTGCTTTTTCAAGTCTTCCCGTAGAGCCAGACCATTCAGACTTGCCCATACTCCCCCTGCATGTCTCTCCCAGCATTCCTCAGCCCTGCAGGCCCTGCCTTGGGCCCCCCACTCCACAGATGTTCAGTGGACATTCATGGTCCTGAGTGTGGCATTGTGTGTTCTCTCAGTCTCTTTGAGGCCTGGTGTCATCGCAACCCCCATCTTCCCCTCCGCTGTTCAGAAACCAGATCTGTGCCCCTAAAAGGCTGGGGCCCTCGAGGGCAGAGCAGGCCTGGCCCCCCAGAGAGCCCCCCAGAGTCCCCTCCCCAGGCCATGCCAGCCGAGGTGCACGAGCCAGTGGCTGACAGGTTTGTCCCCGTTTACAGGGGCCTGGATTTCATCAAAGGAGAGAGTGCCATCCCGGGGCCTTGTTAATGCGGTGATGTGCCTTTGAGTCATGCCAGTGACGAGCGCGCCTGTGAGAGCAGGGACCTGGGGGCTGGGCGGGCCGGGGCACAGCTCCTCAGCTCCCAGACCCTCAGGCCTGACCTGCGTCAGGCTGGGATGGGGAGAGAGGGCACCCAGAGTTAGGTCAACCCTTGCAGTAGAGAGGCCTGGCCAATAACATCCCAGACTCCCGGGGCTGGCAGGACCTCAGAGGATGGGTGCTGGTCTGTACAGGTGGGACCTGGGTGTGTTCAGTGGGGAAGGACACCTCCCTGTGTTCCACTGCTGGGGCCCGGAGGGTGGCCCGGGTGGAGCTGAGGTCTGTGCTGCCAAATCCTGGCTCCTGAGAGGGTCACAGGGTTCCGAGCCCTCAGTGGCCTCGCATGTGTCCCACAGGGCACAGCCCTGCCCTCAGCCTTGGCCTCTGCAGACTAGAGGCTCCAAACAGTCACTTGGTCTCCTCAGGCACCTCACCCACCCGCCAGGGGTCCCTGGCCTCCACACCCCCAGAGGCTTGGGGGTGTGGGTTCAGGATGCTCTGCCCCCCACAGCCTCGGGGTCCCTGGCTGACCCTGTTGAACCTGGGGTGCAGGGAGCCAGCTTTGGGGTTGGGGGGCACACACCCCCATGGCTGTTTGCTGACCTGTCTTGTCCACCTGGGGGCCACGCCAACACGTTTTAGCTCAGGCTGGTGCCCGGCAGGCCCTGTGTGCTGTCCTTCCTCAAATCCCAGGGCCAGGTGCCACTGTGTACACAGGGCTCCTTGACCTTTGCAGGCCAGAGTCAGGCCCAGGCCCCGTCTCCCTTTCATAGCCTGCCCCACCCCATCTAGGCAGGTGTGGGGGGCTCCACCTGCACCTGCAAGCTCTGTTCTCCCGTGTCCCCCTGGGGCAGTGCCAGGCCCGTGGGGTGGGGCTGCCTGCTGAACTCTGTTGTCCTTCCTCCAAGTCACATCACAGCTTCTTTCCCCCAGGTGGTTGGCAAAACCCACGGTGGTTGGGGTCCCAGGCAGGAGGCCAGGGCTGGGCCCTGGGTGGGGCAGGGGGAGCCCATGAGCTGAGGCTCTGAGGCAGAGTCATTGTAGTGGGGGGTGCGGTCCTGCCCAGCCCTTCTCAGGGCTCCCCGGCCCCGACCTCACCCTGTGCTCAGGTGATGCTTGTGGCCCTGTTCTGCCCGTGACCTGTGTGTGGCCTCCCAGCAGAGGGGGACGAGGGGGAGTGAAGGGGGAGTGAAGAGGAGATGAGAGGAGTTTGGGGGGACAAGGGGGTCTTTTGTGTGGAGGCTCAGGCAGGAATCGGGTTGATATCTGCTTGTGGCCGAGGGCACCCTGCGTTGTCCGGGCGCCTCCTGAGCACTTGTAGGGTCCATTCCTAGGATCCCCTCCTGGGACCTCACCCCCACCCCTGCCGGCCCGCCGTGGCCCCACCACCGCTCTATTAAGGACCCGCTGCGCGTCATAGATTACTTTTATTTTCCACGATGACACCTCACCGGGAGGAAAGCCATCCCTGGGGTCTCTTAAAAGACAAGTCCTATTAAAGATGAGAGGAGTTAAGTAAAGCGCCGGCCGTAGATCTCACCGAGCGGGAGGCAGGCGAGAGGCTGCGCCGCCTGGCGGCTCAGGCCCGCCCGTGGCCCTGGCAGGACAGGACAGGACAGGCTGAGAGGTGAGGGGCTGTGGGGAGAGGTGGCGGGCAGCATGGGGTGCAGCAGACGTGGGGCGCCTGGCAGGCAGGCTCTCCACCCTGAGCCAGGCTCCTCTCCCTCCCGCCCTTCCGTGGGGGGCCCACCTCTGTGAAAGGTGCACTGGCTCATCAGGGCCACACTCAAGGGCCTCTGGTGGTCATGTCATCCCACGTTAGAGATGGGGAAACTGAGGCATGGAGAGACTAAGTCAGCATGTCGGGGTCACATAGCCTGAGTGGCTGGCCTGTTCTGCTCCCCCAGCAGCTGCGGGATTGGGGACACAGGGCAGGTAGAGGTTGGTGGGAAGATGAGGCATCCAGTGCAGGTGTGGGAGGGGCACAGGCCCTGGGTCTGCCCGCCTGTCACCCGGCCAGGTCTGCACTGGGCAGAGCCGCCAGGGACCAGACTCGGCAGCCCCAGCTCAGCCCCGGGGTCCCTGCTTCGAGCGGGTAGAAATGAAGTTGGGGCTGTGCAGATGCATTTAGGGTGGGGGGACCACTCTGAGCGCCCCGCCCACCTGTCTGTCCTTCCCTCCCCAGGGCTGCCCAGAAGCTCAGCCTGGCCTCCAAGCGCAAGAAGCCACACCCACCGCCGGCCCCCGCCTCCCGAGGCACCTCCACTTACCCCACGGACTTCAGTGGGGCCCTGCAGTTGTGCCCGCCCCCTGTGCCCCCCTGCCTGCTCAGGGCTGCCTCCAAGGCCAAGGACAACCCCAGCAGCGTCGGAAAGGTAGGCCCAGCCTGGATTTGGGGGTGCCCTCCCGGCGGGGTAGGGGGCATGAGTCCAGGGGTGTTTGAGCAGGTGTGGGGAGGGGGTGCAGGAGACAGACCTCTGCTTCCTTCCCCCAGGTTGTACAAGGTGGTCATCGGGGGTGCAGCTGGGGGGACTGAGACCTAGGCCAACCTTGTTGGCTCAGGGTGTCGGCATGGAGCCTGGGAGACTGGGGGTGGGGTATAG